GCCCGGCCTTAGGGTTTTTCAAGTAAGGGGTGAATTCTTTTGGGGAGGTGTTGTTATTTGGTTTTGGGGGGTTGGTTTTTTTGAGACAGGTTCTCACTATGTGGTTCACATTGGCCTTGAACTCTTGGCAACCCTCCTGCCTCAGCTTCCCGAGTGCTGGGATCGCAGGCATGAGCCACCACTCCCACTAACCACGTCTTGATACAGGGGAAGATGGACAAAGCCCCAGAATGTCTGTGTCTTACCGACTCCGTAGGTCGGTGACATAATAAATAAGTCTGTGGGACACGGGTCCTTGGTCTCCCTGTGCCCGGCCTGGGTTTCCCCAGTGTGGCTCCTCCCAGCGCCCTGCTGTGAGTCTTTAGGGATGACCGCACGTCCAGGTCTCACGCAGGGCGGGGTACAGTCAGAGGACCAAGCCACATGGGGCCCCAAGCAGACCCCGGACCCGCAAGTCGCGGGTCACGCTGGCATCATTCGCGCAGTGTGTGACGCTCGCTGGCCCCTCCCCCAGAGAGAACGCTGCTGCCGGTGGCAGTTCTCTGTCCTTTCCTGAGGCTGACAGTGACAGCCCTGTATTCCTCAGCAGCTGTAGGTTTTTCTTAAATAGCTCTTGTCAGCCTTGGCTGAGTGTTGAAAATACTTTTTCACTGACAACTAACAAAAATGCATTTGCTACAGGGCACAGCAGGGCTGTGATCCCAGCACTTGGGAGGCTGAGGCAGGAGGGTCGCTGTGAATTCAAGGCCAGCCTGGGCTACATAAATATCTGAATGCATATTCCGCACATACGTGAAGCCTTCCTGTTGAAAAGCTGCGATTTTTTAAATCCCTCGCTTAATGTGGGACGGTTCAGCTACGGGCAGGTTTTATTATCACGAACACAGTAACATGGCCGCCATACGTGTCAGCCTGTTGTATTTCCTTCCCTTCCTTGAATTCGAGTAGCCGAATTACTCGTTCTTTTCCCTGTCGAAGGGCTTTTTACTACAATACAGTAATACCATCACCAGAATGTCTAGTTCTTAAGATCCTGGTGTTTTACACATAAAATGGCATGGGATGTGCTGTTTAACTCTATATCTTTAAGATGGCTGTGAGGATGACTGTTTTTCCTGTTTATTTATTAATGTTTGTCACCTTGAGAAGTTTATCTTCTTCTCCCGGCTGCCTGCCGTGCGGGCCTCTGTGTGCGTGGAGCCCGTCTCCGTCCTGTCCGTCCGCAGTGACACGAGCAGAGCTCGCAGGCGAGAACAGACAGGCCCGAGCGGGAGCGGAGGGGCGCCATGGCGGCTTCTCAGCAGCGCACACAGCCGCTCCTGACTCCCGCAGTGCGTGCGGCCCATGTCCCTGGGGCAGCAAGCTTTTCTTTTTTGGCACCAGAAATCGAACTCAGGACCTCACACTTGCCAGGCAGGCGCCATGCCGCTGAGCTGCATCCCCGGCCCGCAGGCTTTTCCTGGTGGTTAATGTGCATCGCACGGCCGTATTGCTGGCGGCGCCTGCGTGGGGCGGCCCGGTTTTAGGCTCTTTTTGTCTGGGGACGGCGTTTCTCCCATCCTGGGCGGAGCCCCGACCTCCACGTGCCCAGCACAGCGCTCACCCCGTAACCCCCCCCCCGGAGGAGCCAGTCCACAGTGCCGTCTCCTCCCTGAAACAGCAGGGTGGGCTGGGGTCGTGGGGCAGATGTTGTGAGGTCGCTGCACGGCGTCTCCTGCACCCGCGTGTGCCGGAGGGCGGACCTGCGGTGTGGCGTCCGTCTGTGCGTGGCACACGGGATAGGCGTGGCGCGGTGTGTGTGAGCTGCACGGAGCTCTTTCTCCCCCAGGTTGTGTACGTCCTGGATCTTGAAACGCTGGTCCTTCTTGCTGTTTTTTGTGTTTTCTTGAGGGTTTTTGTTTTTGTTTTTGTTTTTGTTTTTGTTTTTTAAGACAGGGTCTCCCTGTGTAGTTCAGGCTGGCTCTGAACTCACTCTGTAGCCCAGGCTGGCCTGGAACTCACAGCGATCCTCCTGCCTCAGCCTCCTGAGTGCTGGGATGACAGGCGTGGGCCACCGTGCCTGGCGCCTCTCCGCTGTTTGGGAAGGAGTGCATCCCCCTTCGGGGTCCTCCTCACCTCTGCCGGCCTCCTGCACACCCGCCAGCCTGCGCTCTGTGTGCAGACGGAAGCAACTGGAGTGGACCTCAGTTTCCCCAGGACCGTGAAGGCCCTGCGAGTGATCCCATGGGGCTGGCTGGACCCGGCGGACGCAGCGAGCGTGCCTGGACAAAACGACACCGGCGGTCTGTGTGCTGGAGTGTGTCTCCACATAGTTCTGATGAGTCTGTGTCTGCAGCACGTGGTGTCCACGTCCACCCTGGGAGGTGGCACTGGTACTTGACACATCGTGGCCCTCTGTACCCCACTGCCCTCGGCCCTTTCTGGGCCCTCTGCTCCCATTTGCAAAGGCTCCCTCGGCTGTTTCCTGTCACCTGTCTGATTTTTTATGGTTTATACCTGGGGTTTCTCACCTAAGAGAAACCCAGTGATGACCAGGCTTGTGTGTGTGATTTGTTCCGCTCAGCACTGAGGTCTGGTGGAGCAGCACACTCCCACAAGTGACGGAAGTCTGTCCTTCTTTGGGGCAGCGTAGTACTCCATGGTGTGTAAACACATTTTCCTTATCCACTCATCTGCTGACGGACACATAGGCCACTTCCAGGATTTAGCTCCTGTGAGCTGTGCTGCTATAAACACTGTGTGCGTGGATCCCCGTGATATGACAACTTTAACTCTGGGGAGGATGCCTGGACGGGAAACAGGTGGATCAAATGGAATTCCCAGACTTAGCTTTTCTGCTAGGCCTGAGTTCTCAGCCCCGTTTCCTGTTTTCCGGTGCTATTCCGGCGTTTTCCCGTGTGTGCTTTTACTGAGCACCTGCTGTATTCCGACCCCTGGGTAGGTCCTGGGATGAGGGCGAGTTGCAGGCTGACTCTCAGAGGCCCCGTGGCAGCGAGGGGCACAGGCGGAGCGGGCGTGGGCACAGGGGCTTCGAGAGGGCTGAGGAGCCGGCAGATCCCCGTCCCAAAGTGACGGGCAGCCACCCCACCCCACCCCGCCTCAGCCCTGGACGCTGAGCCGCGCTGCTGGCCACAGGCTCCGGCATGCATGACTCGGGCAGCGGACGCGCCCGTGGGGTCTGATTCTGCTCTCCGAGTATGAATTCCTTGGAGTCTAAGCATTACCAAAGAGAAAAGGACACCCAATAACTCAGATACTCGGGAGGCTGAGTCAGGAGGATCCCAAGTTTCGGGCCAGCCTGGGCTGTTTAGCGAGGCCTCGCCTCAAAATAAAAAACAAGGGCAGACGCTGGGCTGAGGGGAGAGGGGGACAGGCGCAGGGGTACCTGTGTGACCACCTGCAGGGTGTCGGGTGACACTGACGGGCCCTTCCCTCAGACAGGTCAGGCCAGAGGGATGTCGGAGAGCCCGCATCCAGCGCCTGCACCTCCGCCCCTCAGCAGGGCCCGTCGGTGATCCCCGAGCCGCCGGGCGCTAACTCCACTCGCCAGCACAGCCGGGCGCTGTTCCCCGCTGACCAAGCTGGTTTAGCGGGCAGCCTCCTTGCGGGGCTTGAGGCCAGAGCGGAGAACGAGGGGCTCCCTGAGCCGGTCAGGTGTGATTGGAAGGCTGGGGCGCGGGCGTAGCCTGGGCAGTGCTGGCACCATGTGGTTTGGGCATGTGACCGTCTCTGCGCCTCCGTGTCCTCAGGTGGCAGTGTCCTCGCCCCACGAGTCATCACCACGGAAACAGGAGCAAGAGCAGCTCCTGGACGGAGGAAGCGGTGGAAATACTGGCCGTCACTGCCTGATGATGTCTGTTACATGACATCACGAGGGCACACGCCTGTCATCCCAGCCCTCGGGAGGCTGAGGCAGGAAGGTCACCATGACTTCAAGGGCTACAGAGGCAGTTCAAGCTCAGCCTAAACTGCACAGCGAGACCCTGGCTCAAAAAACAGTAGTGAAATAAAATAAAAAGAGACTGCATTTTGGGCTTTTGTTAACTAAGTCTATTGTAGCTGCTCTGATCACAAAAAAAGCTATGTGAGATGACAGGTATGTTAGACCTCCCCGCCGTAACCGTTTTACTGTCTCTGTACATTGGGTAATACTTTGAGGACTTCAGAGATACGGTTTTTAGAAGAGGGAAACAATGTAAGGTGCTGCGTTTCAATTGCTTTCATATCGCTTGCACGAAGGGGTCATGAGGGTGAAAGTGCTTTCACACAGGTCGTCGGTGCCCGTGGGCTCCGCAGAGGCCTGGGTCCACCGTGGAGCTTGGTACCCGACCCGCTCCCACCCTGCCCCGTCCTGGCCCCCCGCTTACAGTTCGGGGTTCCGTGTGTCCGCAGTGCGTGGGTCGTGCCCGCCCTCACCCCACCCCTCCCGTCCTCTCCTCTGACTAAAGCCCCGCTTCTCCTTTCCTGCCGTCCCCGACTGCGGCCCTGGCCCCACCCCGGCCCTGACACCGCGTGGCGGGAGCTGCGTTTCCTTTCTGCCCCTGGTGCCCCCGAGGCTGGCGATGACCCACACACAGTGACGCGGTGACTCGTGCGGCCGGGCACCCACAGGGCCACCTCCTGCCCCCAGTCGGCCTGGTCCGTGGCAGCCACTGGCCCTGGAGTGGAAACCGGGGCCTCGTCCCTCCAGAATGGGCCCCGGTCAGGTCAGCGCCTCGGGAGGCTTCGGCCGCCTCGGCGGGTGTGCAGGAAAACACTACCATTTATAGTTGCACTGGCCTGGCCTTCAGCCCCCCTGGAGCCAGGGAGAGAACGCTATTCCGGAAGTGGAACTATGTGGCAGAAACACACTCCCTACTCCGGCAGGAGCCAGAACAAGCTTTGTTAATCTTCAACCAAGAGAATAAATACCCGGGGTGACAGCGGGCGCTGAGGGTGGGCGGCGTGCCCCCTCCGAGGCGGTGCGTTTGCTTATGGACCTTTGTTTGGTTCCATTTCAGATCCGACCCGTTCTCCCACTTGAAGCCTGAAGATCGGACCACACAAAAGCTGAAGAGTAAGTTCTCCCCCGCCTAGATGCAGCCCTGCCAGGGCTAGGCCTGCCTGGGCAGTCCCTCTATCTAGCTGCCTTTTACTTTTTTTTTTATCTCCAAAATGATTTACAATGTTTCCATTCCTTACAAAAACAGAGCAAGCCGTGTTCTTTTGCTAAGAACACAGGCAAGAGAGATGCAGGATTGCATGCCAAATGCTATTAAAATACAAACTTTTTTTGGTAAAGAAACTATTTCCAGCCCCGTGTTGATGGTCTGCTTGTCTCACACAGTATCCAAAACAACAAAGCCGCGTTTCTGCAGCTAAGGAACTGGGACAGCCCAGCGCCGAGCGCCGCCTCGGCATGAACACTGGGTCACAGCTGCAGCATTCTAGGGCTGCTGTCTTTCTTTTTGCTTCGGTTTTTCTCTGATTTCACCCAAATGTAGTGGCTGAGGGTTGACGGTTCTGCAGTAGCAAATTTCCTTTAGACCTAGGAAAGTAAAGTTATTTTTAAGCCCAGCATTTACAGGGCTTCAATGTGGCATTGTTCCCTGGAAAATCATGGCTGTCCTCTTATTTGCAGCATGTATCAGTTAGCTTCTGCTGTGTAACAACCATGCCAAAGTGTACTCAGAGCAGCAGTCAGTTGTTTCTCTCCTGACCTTCCCGGCTTGCTGATTTGGGCTGGACTTGGTTGTGTGTTGCATCTGTGGTGGGCTGGATCTCCAAAAGTCAGGCGCAGGCCCGTGGGGCTGTGATTCTGAGGGTCACCTGGCTGTCGGCAGGTGTGAGAGCAGTGGCTGTGCTGTGTGCTGCACCGTCCCTCAGCTGTGTCTTGGTCCATTCACAAGAGGCTGAGACGATGCTGCGGAGACAGGTGTCGAGGCCAAAGCCAGCAGTGGCCCAGTGTCAGGCTAAAGCAGGCCCATGGCTCACCTGGGCTCAAAGGGTGTGCATACAGATTCTCCTCTTTATTTTTATTTCTTCTCTATTTATTTATGATCCTGGGATGGACCCAGGGCCTTCACACTGAGCTGCATCCCAAGCCTCTTGTTTAATTTTTAAAATTTTGAGACCAGATTGTGCCTTGTTGCTTTAACTTGAAATCCTCCTGCCTCAGCCTCCCAGGGATGGTGATGAGAGGAGCTACAGAACCCCATTGCAGGGGCAGGAGGGCCGGGGTTCCCCAAGAGTGGTGCTGTGGAACAGGAAGGGGCAGAGGGCTGTGAAGGGACCCTGGTCCGCCCCGTCCTGCTGGGCAGCACCCCAGAACCCCGGCCTTGCTCTTTTCCACCTGGGGTCCCCATGAGTTCAGCGGGTGCCTAGCGGCTGTGCCAGCGCTGGGTCCTCACCCCGCCTGCCCCCCCGTGGCATCGCATGCTGCCACCTCGCCCTTGGTGCCACCTGCGGGCAGCCCATCCTCTCCCGCTCCAGCCCTCGTCCCCGGCTTTAGACTTGGCCGGCGCCGCCTCCCGGACTCGCCCTGTTGGGCTCAGCCAGGGCAGTGCGGGTCAGCAGGAAACCACCCGGCGGCCTGGTGGGCACAGAGCGGGTGCCAAGTGTCGTCACGTGCCCGGGTCGTGTCGGCCTCTGAGGAGTGCGGCTGCTGTCCGGCTCATTGCCCTTGTGCCGTGAGGACACCTTACACCTGAGCTGGGGGACAGCTTTATGCCTCTCACGTTTGCGCAGCGAGGGGTCCCTGCTTCCTGGCTGCCCCGAAGGCTGTGTCGCGTGCGTCTCTCCCTGTCCGGGTCCCCTCCCGTGCCCTGTGCTGGGGCCGTAGATGGTCAGGAGCCTCTCCAGGGGCACCTCCGCTGCTTCCTGGGGCAGCCTGGCGCCACCCTGCACTTTGCTCCCTCGGGCAGGTGTCCCTCGCAGTCCCGGGGCCCCTCTACCCACCCCGTAGGGCTTCTGTCCGTCCCCCCGTGGTGTGCCGAGCCGCTCGCTGCCTGCCCCGCACTGCAGCCGGGTGACTTCCTGGAAACCCTGGCAGGGCGGGCTCACTTGCGAACTTCCTGGCCGTGGTGACTTCGGCGTCCACTCTGACATAGGAGCTGGCCCCTGACCAGCTGGACGCTGCCCTCCCCAAGCCCAGGTCCTCACACCTGAGGCTCAGACACGGAGGCACCGGGCACCTGACCACCCTCCCACTGCATCCTCTTTAAGGGGTCAGGACGCTCGTGTGTGCCCCGCTGTGTGGCCCCCCTGGGCTGAGGCTGAGGCACAGGGTCCTGCCCACAGGGAGGGCCGGCTCATGCCTGGGCATTTTCACCCTGGACATCATCGTGTGCTCCGGGCAGCTGTGATCAGGGCGCCCTGCAGGATCCATGACCTCTGCAAAACCAAGCTGTGCTGGACGTGGAGGCACACAGAGGCCCTGCGCTCTTGGGAGGCTGAGACAGGAGGATTGCTGTGAGTTCAAGGCCAGCTTACAAAGCAAGACCCTGTCTCAGAAGAGCACCCTGGGGTCGGGGATACAGCTTAGTAGCACAGCACCTGCCTGGCAAGTACAAGGTCCTGAGTTCGATTTCCGGTACCACAAAAACAAAAAACAGGAGAAAAGCACCCCGCATATCTGGGATGTGTGCTTTGGCCGGGGGAACCAATTGGCGCCCTCTCCAGGAAACCAAAGGCTAGGGCGCAGGCTCCAGCCCTGGGCGTGTCCCCAGGGTTCCCCAGGGAGGGGCAGGCCAGGAGCCCGAGAAGCCCCACCCCTACCCAGGGACAAGCGGGGGAATGCACCCAGCCTGGGGGTTCCTGGGGGCCTGCAGGGGGAGAGGGGCGCAGCCACCTGGAAACCGCTCCTCTGAAAACCTTCAATTCTGTCAGCTGTGCAAAAGCCCGGCTCTGACCTGTTCCTGGGGAAAGGGCCTGGCCGGCTGCAGCTTCGGGTGACCGATGTCCCTGCCCCCTCCCACGTCCCTGCCTCGGTGCGCAGCCGGCGGTGCCCTGCTGCGCCGCGGGGAAAGGGAGGGGACCCCCTGCACGGGGGCTCTGTGAAGAGCGGGCCGGCTCTGCCCCCTGGAGGAGAACCGGAGAACTGCTCCGTCTGTGGGGTTTGTCTTTCCCCGCTGAAACAATTACTGTAAACTTAGAGTTAACACTCCTCACGTTTGTTTTGTTTTGCTGCGCCGTGCTGTGCTGTGTTTCGTTTCATTTCCTTTTGTGTAACCCAGGCTGGCCTCAAATTCATGCTGACACCCGGCCTCCGCCCCCCGAGTGCTGGGATGCTGGCTGATCTCACTACCGCTTGCTGGAACTTTGTGTAGCTGTGAAGCAAACCTCGGGACACGGCAGGCCACGGTGTCTGAAGGGGAAGCTTCTCACATTTCATCGGCCCGCTCCGCCGTCCCTGGACTGCAGCCGGGTGCTGCCCCTCGCTCAGTTCTCTGGCCCAGTTATTTAGCCTGCGAGGCGTCCTCTGCGAGCAGAGCCTTCATCACACAAATGCCGTCCTCTGCCCGAGTGTCCCCTGCCGTGGCCAGCGTGTATCCGTCCGTGGCTCAGGGTGTCCCCCGCAAAGGGCAGGCTCGGGCGGCGCCTTGGCCTCGGCGCGGACGTGGTGGGCCTTTTCCTTCTCTCCTTCTTTGCACTCAGAAACGCCGAGGTCCTTTCACTCCTCGAGGGTGCGGTGTCCTAGGAGATGGTCACAGGTGGCCGCTCAGGCTGCTTTCGGCCCCCGTGTGCGGAAGCCAGCGGCCCAGGCACCCCGGAGCCACTCGAGGCTGACTCGAGTTTCTCTGGGACCCAGCCCAGGGCCGCCTCTCCTTTCTGGCCACGGGACTCGCGGTGACAGCCCGCGGGTGAGAGGACCCTGAGAACTGCAGTCCCCGCCGGACGCCCCAGGCAGCGCCCCGGCTGGGCGATGTTCTCGGTGGACGGTCACCCCGGCGGCCGCAGCCAGCGCTTGCATTGTTCAGAGGAGACACGCGCACGCACGCTCAGCGCCGGTATCTCCCCCTCTCCCGCTTGCCGTCTTCCCCTCCCCCTTGGGCACCCTCCCCGACTGCGAGCGGCTTTGATGGAGCAGGGACCCTGACCCCTGCCCTTGGGGGCCAGTGAAGGCTGGGCGGCCTCAGCACGGTTCCTGAGCGCCTCTCCCTTCCGGACGTTTCCGGCTCTCCCTCCTGGTCACAGACTGCTGCCCGCTGAGCTGTGGGTCCTGCTGGCCCGGATCCCCGGGAGCGGGCAGGCCAGGGCGCAGATGCGGGCCCCTGCAGCAGTCAGAAGAGAGGTCGCGGTCGCTGCCGCAGTCCTGAAGGGAAGTCACCCCAGCACTGTGTCCCTCAGAGGCCATGGACTTGAGGATCCCTTTCGGAAGCTAGTAAGAAGCCAGCAGATAAATGGGCAGTGTGCCGGGCGTTTGTTTCAGAGCTACGGCAAAATCGTGAAGCACCCAAGACGCTTGGTGCCCTTGTGTCTCATCTAAAAGACACACAACAAACCCATACCGTGTGGCAGTCTACCCTTCCTCTCCTTCCTTCCTTCCCTCCCTCCCTTCCTTACTTCTTTCCTTCCTTCCTTCCTTTCTTTTTGAGACAGAGCCTCACTCTGTAGTTCTGGCTGGCCTTGAACTCACTTGTAACCCAGGCTGGGATTGAACACAGAATGATCCTCCTGCCTCAGCCTCCCAACTGCTGAGATTACAGGTATCCACCACAGTGCCCAGCTTGGACCTTACTCTTAAAAAACAATTACTATTGTGAAATACAAAGAAAGACTTCACAAGTGTCCGTTTGGAGAAGACCAAAGAGCCAGCACAGCAGAACGAAGTGTATCACTTGGGGGTTTCTCTTGCTGTCGAGGATGTCCCGAGGGGAATGACCAAAGTCTAACGGGGGACTTAGGGCTGCGGTAGCATCGGGCCTTGGCCTCCGGCAAGTTGCTTCAGTGCTCTACGCCTCAGTTTCCTCCCTGTCACGTGACTGCCCGTCAGGTTCCCTGCAGCCCAGAGGGTCCCAGCTGCGCCCCAGGGAAGGGACCGTGCGCTCAACTGACCACTAGGGGTCGTGCCAACAG